AAAAAAAAAAAAAAAAAATCTTTAAAAAAAAATATGTTTTTAGGGTCTTTTGAAAGTTTGATCTACGTTTTTAAAGAATCTGAAGCTAAGCTTATATCATATTTCTCTTACCTGCATTATGAGGTGTCTTTATCTTATAGAAAGTTAATACATTGTTTTTACTTTAATGAATATTGCTTTTTGTGTATTTGGTTTTATGTATATTATACAGACATGTGACATTTTTTATTGTTTTTTATTAGCTGTGGGTCATCAGGAAGAACTGCTGAGAAGACAAGTCTTAGTTTTAAGTCTGATCAAGTGAAGGTCAAGCAAGAACCTGGGACTGAAGATGAAATATGTAGCTTTTCAGGAGCTGTTAAACAAGAAAAGACAGAGGATGGCAGGAGGAGTGCCTGCATGGTAAGCTCCCACTGGGGTCTGTCAGGGATTCAAGGAGGCCACTTCATGGAATCTCTAGCTCTCCCTATTAGACTGAATAGTGGTTCTATGGACATTTATTTATTTTTGGATATTTATGCCTGGTATAATTCAAATATCTCTTTCTGTAATTCAAGTTTTTCATCTAAGTGTCAGCTGCAATTTATCACAAAAGATTTGACAAATTTGAAATATCTTTTAGTTTGTTATTGGTCAGTATTTTTGCCATGATTCTAAATCGGGTTCTATTTTGCTTTGACTTTATTATCATCTCAACAGTCACATTGAGTCTCAGGCCACCAAAGATCCTTAACTATTTTCCTGGACCTGTGAGCTCAGGATTAGGACTGGTGACATGAAAGAAGTTTAATGCTCAGGGAGTTGTGTGATGGGAAGATTGCCTTTGGCTTATGAATAATTAACCATTTAGGAGTTTTTCAGATAGAACATTTTATACAATTTACAATATAGAATGAAGGAAAAGCCACCTTCTCTTCCTCCTCCTGTGCCATCCCCCTCGCCCCCACGCAATAAATTTTGATCTTGGTTTTTTCTTCCTGCCCAGGCTTAGATGTCATTTTCTACATGGTTGGCATATAGACATTTCAACTTGGAGTATTAGCATATTTAACACAGTATATGTACATTTAAGAGCAAAGAGCCTTGTATTTGTGGTGTCACATCTTCATCCAGTATCTGGTTTGGAAAGTGCCCCCAGAAAACTGGGTGCGAAAGGGTGGTAAAAGATTTCTTTTACTATTGTCACAATCTTCTTACTTCAGTAAAATGATAAGTAGGCAGAGAAACATTTCTTAAAAGCTATGCAACAGATTTCTTGTGTGAAAAATAGGGTATCTTAGCTCTTTGTAGGAAAAGTATAACCCTATGCTCACTTTACAATCAGTGTGCTTAACAGTTAGTTTAATTTTCTTAGTATCCAAATGAACCAATATTAGAGTGTTCTATAAAATAATAAATTAACATGCCTAATAATTTTCGTTACTTTGTCACTAATGTCATTTCCAAATTAATTTTTAAGTTATGTTAGCATATATGTATGTGTATTGACATAACTCTTAAGTTACATGCACATTGCATACACTAAGGATTAAACAATTCTTTAAGAATTTGTCCTTGTTTTGTTTTAGTTGAGCAGTCCTGAGAGTAGCTTGACACCACCTCTTTCAACCAACCTGCATCTAGAGAGTGAGTTGGATGCATTAGCAAGCCTGGAAAACCATGTGAAAACTGAACCTGCAGATACAAATGAAAGCTGCAAACAGTCAGGGCTCAGCAGTCTTGTTAATGGAAAGTCCCCAATTCGAAGCCTCGTACACAGGTCGTCAAGGATTGGAGGAGATGGCAATAGCAAAGATGATGACCCAAATGAAGACTGGTGTGCTGTCTGCCAAAATGGAGGGGATCTGTTATGCTGTGAAAAATGTCCAAAGGTCTTTCATCTAACTTGTCATGTTCCAACACTTCTTAGCTTTCCAAGGTACCAGTGAGATAATTGATTTTTTTGTTCTTGTTTATTTTTATAAGCTAAAAAAAACAAAACAAAACAGAAAGTTGTTCATGCAGATGGCCTTCCTAACCAATGCATACTGTTTCTGTAAAACAGGGAGCCCATTATTCCTTTGTTACTACCTTCTAGAGAAACTAACAGCTGAATGGTGAAATGTCCAAGATCTAAGTGGTGTATGAATGATAAAAAGCAGACTATTTCCTGGCCTTCAGTTTATACTTAGTGTAAACAAAGTAGATAATACTCTAAATTATGAGAGGCAGGGGCCTGGGGTGTTGGAGAAGTTAGTCGATTTCCTGTTGAAGCTGAATTTTTTTATCTGTTGCCATCAATCTTAATAGGATCTACAATAATTTCATTTAAGAATACTGTGCAGTTGGAGGCAACTCTGTTGGGTCTTACCTAGAACCTACTGTTCTAAAGTTTGAAAGCTCGTGAAAGGCATTTTAAAGGAAAAGGTACTTCGTAAAAACACCTTCAACATCTTGAAGTTTTTAGTTACCACTTCCTCTTGACCAGTGGGGGCAGCTAGTTGTAGTGCCAGCCTGTAGCCCTGTGTGCACATTTCTCATGTAACAAGTTGTGTTCGTGCCATTTTGTCTCCAGTTGATTTCAGAGACCTTCCCCCTTCCCAAGCTCTTACCCCAAATTACCCTTTTGGGTGACAGTAAATAGTGTTCTTGGGAAAGCCCAGCTTTTTTTCTGCCTTTAAACAAAACATTCACATTTCCTCTCAGTCCTAAGAAGCAGTGATTTTAGTTGAGTAAATGCTACTCATTTTGTATAATTCAACTTTTTGGATTAGAAACATGGTGGATATATAAACAGTGCCAGAATATTTTTCTGAAGAATCCTAATTCTTACCTGGGTCTTAAGAGAGGAATAGTCATTTGCCAGAAATGTAATAAGGGCCTTCTTTTACTTTACTCTTTATAGAAGAAAAGTATTGACATTTTGATGTTGTAATTAAGGCTTTTCATATTTTTCTTCCCTTTGTGTAGTAACATCTGCTGGAATGTTAGAATTTTGCCACTGAATGCTTTCTCTCAAAGGCTGATACTTGGGAAGGAATTGGGACTGTTGGCAAAGTCTAGTACAGTCTCTAGATTTAGAATTTCTTTATGGCAGGGGAGAGTAGGGGAGAATTACTGGGGATGAACCATTTTAGAATATACAGTTTGATGGAAATCCTGATGTAAACAAACTATAGACTAAGCAAATTTGAAAGGTAAGGGGTCTATGTACATGTGTTTGTATTTATAGAGGTGTGTGTGTGTATTCTTGGCTTTTGACTGGCATGAAGAATTGTTCTATTTTTGGCGTATTTAACACATGCCAAACCAGTATGGGATACCCAAGGAATTCCATATCCCATACTCTTTCCTTATTCATGAGTGTGGGGTCGTTGTGAGAGGTAGTACTGGGGTTGACAGGCAGTCTTACGCTGTAAGTACTGATCATCTACTTGGTGTTACGAAAAGATCCCTTTTGAAATGCAGGGCTACCAGTTTCATAAAGCTTTCTAGAAAGTAATTAATTGAAGAATGACTGGGAAAAGTTTTGGGAAGCTTTTATCATACAGCTTCACTTTATGATATCTGACAAGAATAGAGCCTCTCTTCCCCTGAAAGACGATGGGAAGGAAAGAAAACAAACTGGAGACTTACCTCCAGAGAACTAGCTTCTCTAGAGTGGGTTTTTTTTATAATTACAAGGACTAATTGCCTGTTTCCCTCTTTAGTGGGGAATGGATATGCACATTTTGCAGAGATATTGGGAAACCAGAAGTTGAATATGATTGTGATAATTTGCAACATAGTAAGAAGGGGAAAACTGCACAAGGGTTAAGCCCCGTGGACCAAAGGGTAAGTGTCAGATAAAGTTGGATTTATTATCAGGGATTCTGTAGTTGTCTGGCTATGCACCTCTAGACTTTTACACCCAGCTTCTTCATATTTAACATGTCCCAACCAAAACTTGATTTCAAAAAGAACATAAATAATAAACAAGCAAATAACAACATAAAAAACTGCACTCTTCCTCTGGTATTTCCCATCATTAAAAGGTACCACCATTTATTTCTGTTGCTCAAGCCAGAAATCTGTTAGAAGTAAAAGAATCAGAAGTGACCATAATACGATTTTCTTACTTGTCCTCACCATCACCTTCTGAGATAGCCATCATGGTTGTTCATCTGCACTATCATAATAAACTCTTCACTCAGACATCCCTGAGTTTACTCTTGCCTCTTCCTACTATAGTTTTCTGTACTGTACATAGTGTTCTTTTTTTAAAAAGATTTTAGAGAGCACGAGAGGGGGGACGGGCAGAAGGAGAGAGAGTGAGAATCTGAAGCCAGCTCCGCGCAGAGCCCAAGTCAGGGCTCGATCCTGCAACCCTGAGACCATGACCCGAGCCAAAATCAAGAGTCAGACGCCCAACTGACTGAGCCACTCAGGTGCCTCTACATAGTATTCTTTTTAAAAAATATAAACAGGTCTGCCACTTCCTTGCTTAAAATCCTCTAATAGCTTTCTGTCATTAAAAATGAAACCCAGAATCCTCTCCTAATTTCGCTCAGATTTCTGCTGATTTGGTCTCTTCTCCAAAATGAAAATCTCTGTGGTCATTACAGTTATGTTTGGCTCTGATCCTGATGTATATACTTGCAAAATCCCCCTCTACTAAATGTTTAGCGTGTATAAACTTCTATTAAAAGAAGTTTAAGCAAATGAAAACTAAATGTAAAATGCATTTCATTTTCTGACTGTATAAAAAAATTCTAGAATTGTATTGAGAAGACATAGTTTGTATTTAATTTTGGACCTGCATGGAATCACTTCAGGAGAAGAAAGAATAACATGTGTCCTGCTTGCATCAGAGAATTACAGTGAATAGCAGCAGCAGTAATTTATAGATTACTAGGTAATCCTGGGGCACCTGGGTGGCTCAGTTGTTAAGCGTCTGCCTTCGGCTCAGGTTGTGATCCCAGGGTCCTGGGATTGAGCCCTGCATGGGGCTCCCTGCTCAGTGGGAGGCCTGCTTCTCCCTCTCCCACTCCCCCTGCTTGTTTTCCCTCTCCAACTGTCTCTCTGTCAAATAAATAAACTTAAAAAAAAAAAAAAAGATTACTAGGTAATCCTAATTACTAAGATTTGTAGGATTTATTGGATTACCTAGTAATATATAAATTTTTGCACAAAATGCTGTATGTTGCTTTTATGACCGACTCCTTTCCATTTCTATAAATAGTCAGTAGTAGATAAATTACCTTAGTCATTGTCTAAAAACAAAAGCACTCTATCTTCGATAAATTCATTTAAAAGTAGAACAGAAATTCATTTAATTTTTTTTTTAAGATTTTATTTATTTGCGAGAGAGAGAATTAGAGACAGAGAGCATGAGAGGGAGGAGGGTCAGAGGGAGAAGCAGACTCCCTGC